TGGATTTGTTGAGACTTGTTTTGTGGCCTAATATGTGATCTATTCTGGAAAATGTTCCATGTGCACTTGAAAAGAATGTGTATTCTGCTGTTTTAGGAAGAAATGTTCTGAATGTGGCTATTAAGTCCATCTGGTCCAGCGTGTCATTCAAAGCCACTCTTTCCTTGTTGATTTTCTGTTTGAATGATCTGCCCATCGATATAAGTATGGTGTTATGGTCCCCTACCATTATTGTATTACTATCTATTATTTCCTTTATGTTTGTTATTAACTGTTTTATGTATTTAGGTGCTCCCATGTTGGGCGCACAAACATTTGCAATTGTTATATCCTCTTGTTGGATTGTCCCTTTTTTTTTTTTTAAGATTTTATTTATTTATTTGACAGAGAGAGAGAGAGAGAGCACAAGTAGGCAGAGAGGCAGGCAGAGGGAGAGGGAGAAGCAGGCTCTCCACTGAGCAGGGAGCCCAACGTGGAGCTCGATCCCAGGACTCTGGGATCATGACCCAAGCTGAAGGCAGCCGCTTAACTGACTGAGCCACCCAGTCGCCCCATGGGTTGTCCCTTTTAATATAATGTCCTTCTTTGTCTCTTGTCAGTCTTTATTTTAAAGTCATTTTGTCCAATATAAGTATTGCTACCCCAGTTTTCTGTTGATATCCATTTACATGATAAATGTTTCTCCACCCCCTCACTTTTGTTCTTTTATTTTTAAAGATTTTTTTTTTATTTTAATTAAAAAAAATCCCACAGCCAACATCATTCTTTAAAAAAAAAAAAGATTCATTTGTTTTGGAGAGAGAGAGAGTGCACATGCAAGTCACATGTGGGGTGGAGAGGCAGAAGGAGAGGAGTAAGAGAATCCCAAGCAGACTCCAGGCTGAGCATGGAGCCTGACGCAGGGCTTGATTCCACGACCCGGAGACCAGGACCTAATCTGAAACCAAGAGTCGGATGCTTAACTGACTGTGCCACGCAAGCGCCTTTTTAATTTTTTTTTTTTTTAAGTAGGTTCCAGGCCCAGCATGGAGCCCAGTGCAGGGCTTGAACTCATGACCCTGAGATCAAGACCTGAGCTGAGAGCAAGAGTCGGATGCTTAACCAACTGAGCCACCCAGGCACCCTTAAAGATTTTATTTTTAAGTAAGTGAGGCTCATATTCACAACTCCAAGATCAAGAGTCGCATGCTCTTCCGACTGAGCCAGCCAGGCACTCCTCCATCCCGTCGCTTTCAATCTGCAAGTGTCTTTCGGTCTGAAATGAGTCTCTTGTAGGCTGCACATAGATGGGTCTTTTTTTTTTTTAAGATTTTTAAAATTTATTTATTATTTGACAGAGAGAGACACAGCGAGAGAGGGAACACAAGCAGGGGGAGTGGGAGAGGGAGAAGCAGGCTTCCCGTGGAGCAGGGAGCCTGATGCGGGGCTCGATCCCAGGACCCTGGGATCATGACCTGAGCCGAAGGCAGACACTTAACGACTGAGCCACCCAGGCGCCCCTGGGTCTTGTTTTTTATCCACTCTGTCACCCTATGTCTTTTGATTGGAGTGTTTAATCCACTTATATTCAAAGTAATTATTGATAGGCCCATATTTATTGCTATTTTGTTACTTGTTTTATGGTTGTTTCTATAGATTTTCTCTGATCCTTTCTTCTCTTGCTCTCTTTCATGGTTTGTTGGCTTTCTTTAATGATATACTTGGATTCCTTTCTCTTTATTCTTTGCATATCTATTACTGGGTTTTGATTTGTGGTTATCATTCAGCATATAACATCTTCTGTACATAGCAGTCCATATTAAGTTCATGGTCGCTTAAGTTTGAACCCATCCTTTGCTCTTCTACCCACCACATTTTAGGTATATGGTGTCATATTTTACACCTTCCCCCTTTTTATTTACTGAATCCTTTGACTAATTTTTTAGAAATACTTATTTTTGCTGTTTGTGTTTTTACTTTTCTTGCTCACTTATGGTCTTTCCTTTCCACTCAAAAAGTCCCCCTTAATATTCTTGTAGGGCTGGTTTAGCTGTCATGAATTCCTTTAGTTTTTGTTTGTCTGAGAAACTCTTTATCTCTCCTTCTATTCTGATTGATAGCCTTGCTGGATATTCTTGGCTGCAGATTTTTCCCTTTCAGCACTTTAAAGATATAATGCCACTTTCTTCTGGCCTGAAAAGTTTCTGTTGAAACATCCACTGATAGCCTGATGAGGTTTCCCTTGTATGTAACTGTCTTTTTCTCTTGCTTCTTTTACATTTTTTTTCTTTATCACTACTTTTACCATTTTAATTACTTTGTGCCTTGGTATGGACCTCCTTGGTTGAATTGGGGACGGGGGGGATTTCTATGATGCCTCCTGGATCTGGATAGCTGTTTCCTTCCCCAGATTAGGGAAATTGACAGCTATTATTCCTTCAAATAAACTTTCTACCCCTTTTTTTCTCTCTTCTTCTTATGAGATCCCTATAAAGGAAATGCTGGAGTCACTGAATTCTCTAAGGTTATTCTCAATTTGCATAATTTTCTTTCCTTTGCTAAGCTTGGTAAATTTCCTTTACGCTGTCTTCTAGGTCATCAGTTCATTCCTCTACTTCATCTAGCCTGTATTTATTCCATCAAGTGTATTTTTAATTTCATTTATTGTGTTCTTGATCTCTTACTGGTTCTTTTTTTTTTTATCTCTGTGTTAGGGTCTCACTGATGCTTTTCACTCTTTTCTCAAGTCCAGTAAGTATCTTTATGATCATTACCTTATTTTGTGTGTGTGGTTTTTTTTGTGTGTGTGGAGCCCAGTGTGGGGCTTGAACTCACAACCCTGAGATTGAGGCCTGAGCCGAGATCAAGGGTCAGACACCTAACTGAGCCACACAGGCACCCCTATGATCATTACTTTAAATTCTCTATCAGGCATATTACTTATATCCATTTCGCTTAGGTCTCTTGCTGTGGTTTGGTCCTGCTTTTTCATTCGGGACATATTTCTCTGTCTCCTCATTTTGTCTAGCTCTCTGTGTCTGTTTCTGTATGTTAGGAAAGTCAGCCACTTCTCTTACTCTTACTCTTAACAGTAATAGCCTTATGAAGAACACGTCCTGTAGTGCCCCACCGTGCAGTGTCCCCAGTCCCCAGGGCTTGGAAATTCAGGGAGTATCTCCTATGTGTGTTGTGTGTTGTGTGTGCTCTGCCATTGAGTCCTGGCCTCTTTTTCCTTCAGTCCCATTGTCTGCAGAGGCTCTCTTTGCCTATTGTGGGCAGTGTTTGGTCCCCAGCAGGGGTGGGGCACATTTTAGCAAGGTGTACCATGGTCTGCTTGCGAAATGAGACCTGCCCCTGCTGCCACCAGACCTGAGGTCCCACAAAATGCGCAGGTAGGGAGATGAGGTGTTGGTTGGGTTTGCGCTGGTCTCCTGGAGGAGAGGGCATGCAGGAGTGTGATTGAGACCAGTGTGGCTGGGAAGGGCAGATCTGCTAAAGCATGAAAGGGTGGGGCTTGGCATAAGCAAGTTAGGTAGTAAGTAGTGAGTGTTGGCTGCACTGGTTCCTGCAGGTTTCTGTTTTTTATGCTGAGGAGGGGGAGAGGGAAATGGCACCTGCTAGCTTCTTTGTTCCTGGAGGGGTCTCCCCATGATTCCTGTCTCTCCTGGTCATGCTCTGAGATTAGCAAATGACTCTTCCTCCCATCTGCCCCTGGCATTTTTCAGACTTCTATATCTGCAGAGCTGTGCTGTCTCTTTAAGTACAGGGACTCTACTTCCTAATGCCCTCCAGGCCCTCCCAGAGCAGAGAATGCTGATTTTTAAAATTCCAGGCTCTAAGTCTGGCTGGTTGTAAGAACTCAGGAAATTTGGCCCCTCTTGCTTTCATAGGCAAATGCTTGGGGATTCATCCTCACCATTCATGGGCTCCCTAATGTGAGAGTCTCTTTTTCACCCTTCTCTACACCACTGGCTCCCTTCCCACTGTGGACAGCTATGGTCTGTTCTGCTCCCAAACCATGTCTTGATCCTCCCTACCTTCTTTGATGTGGCCTCTTCTCTACCTTTAGTTGTGAGTTTGTTCTGCCAGTCTTCATATTGTTTTCTGGGTTATTTACACTGATGTGTTATCTAGTTGTATCTGTGGGATGAAGTGAGCTTAGGGTCCTCCTACTCTGCCATCTTCCCAGCTGACCCTTGGGAAATAAGCCCTTCCCTTTTCTTGACTTCAGTTTCCTCATTTTACAATGAAGAGGTTAGACACAATGATCCTTGATTCTGAACTACACCCCAGAAGGAGGCATTTGGGAATTAGACCTGAGAAGGGGTCTGCTGGTGACATCATAAAGGGAGAATTCCATGAGAAGACTCAGGCTTTCCTAGAAGTGCCAGTGCCATCGGTTGGAAGGACAATTCAGGGAGGAGCCTGTTGGGCCCACATCTTGAGATCTCCTCATTCCAGTGTTACCAGCATAGTCATGGATCAATCCTCATTGGCTGAAACAGCTCAAAATGAGGCAGACACCAATGATTTGGATGTGTCATCTCACCCTGGCTCACCAACCCCACATCACAGGCCAGGCCACAGCGGAGTCCAGCGCCATCATGGGTACCATCACCACGGTGTGTCCCAGCACCATGGTGAGTCCCACCATCATGACATATCCCACCATCACGGTGAGTCCCACCATCATGGCAGGTCCCACCATCATGGAACATCCCATCATCACGGTGAGTCCCACCATCATGGCAGGTCCCACCATCATGGAACATCCCATCATCACGGTGAGTCCCACCATCATGGTGGATCTCACCACCTTGATGAATTCCAAGACTTTCATGACAATGCCCCCTCCCACCATTCCCCCCACTCCCATCACTCCCACCACTCCCATCACCGTGGTGAGGCCCACCAACATGGTAGAGCCCACCATCTGACATCCCTTGCCCTGGCTCCTTCTCATAGCACTATCTTCTCCCATCATTCTCTTGGTGAGGGCCCCTTTGATGGTGAGTACCACCATGGTAGCAGAAGACATCATGGTAGGCCCCACCACCACGGTGAGCCCTATCACCACAGGGGGTCCCACCACCACAGGGAGCCCTACTACCATGGTGGGTCTCACCACCATAGGGAACCCCACCACCATGGTGGGTCTCACCACCATGGTGCTGAGGTTTCCCACCACAGTGGGCTCCATCACCAAGGTGAGCCTTACTACCATAAAGATTCCTACACGTATGGTGGCCCTCACCATCACAGTGAGGCCCATCACCATGGTAGGCACCATCATCATGAAGCCCACCACCACAGAGGGCCTCTTCATCATGGAGAGCCCTCTTCCCACCATTCCTATGTGGACGCCTACCATGATCGCTCGATACCTCATTTCTATGACGACTACAGGAACCACAGTGAACACCACCGTGGCCACCATGGCCACCATGGCCACCATGGCGAGCACCATCACAGGGAGCACCACCACGGCGAGCACCACCATAGTGTGCATCGTTATGATTATCTCCATGGTGATCACCGCTACAGGGAGTACCATCATGGTAGCTCCCAAGTCTTTGGCCCACACAAGTCTCATAGTGTGGCCAGAGCCTCCTTTGGCTCTTCCTTTTCTGATTCAGTAGCCCTCCAACCTAGCACGGTACAGGCACAGCGCTCAGCCTTTAGCTTGACTCGTTCCCACAGTGCAGTGCGCTCACATGCATCCCAGGGGTCCAGCAAAGTCCATCCTCAGGATTCCTCCTCTAAAACTTCCTCGGAAAGCTGGGCAGAAGAAGATGAGCAATTTCAGAAGCGCAAAAGTGAGTCTCTCTTACCCCCACCCCCAACTCACACAGCCTGGCCCAGATTCCAGGCCTGACTTGGGCCCTGCACTGACCTTCCACAGATCATGAGGCATGACTCTTAGCTGCATGCATATTCCATTGGCTATTCACTCACCTGACTGCTCACCATCCAATCTTCTATTCCTTAAATGATGTACCTCTTCAGGCCATTGGTAGTTTGTTCATCCAGTCACTGCTGTGCCTATATGCATTCACTTCTCAAACATTTCTTCTTGTCTAATATGGGTCCCTGGCCCGCCTGGACCCTGGAAGCACAGAGAAAACAAATCCTGCCCTGGAGGGGCTCCAAGACTGGGGGGTGGTCACTTAAACAACCAATCCTAGACCACCCAGTGATGGTGGCCTATCCTCCATATCAGGACAATTACCACTGTAGATTGTATTTGTCCACATTTCCCCCACTAAACTGTGAGCATCTTGACAGACATCCAGTGTCTGAAAGAGGGCCTTGTTTAAGGGCAGGGAGGGACCTTGGCTATTAAAGCACAATCCCCCAAGCTTGGCCCCAAGTGGTTCAGTAAACAGAGTAACAGTCTCACAAACAAGCAGAGAGGGATAGGTACCTAACTGGATGGGAGTAGGGAAGGCAGCCAAACGGAGGCGATGTTTCAGCAGAATCTCAGAGGGAGAGGGAGAGTTCACCAAGAGGATGGGGTAGTGTGGAAAATGGGGTTTTCCATGCGTAAGTCGCCACGTGGGTAAAGAAAGGCCTGGAGGTATAGAATCATGAGCCTGCAAGATGCACTTGAGCAGACCACAAATCCCAAACAAGTTGGCGTCTGCCATGGAAGGGGCAGCAGGAGTCCAGTAGCCCCAGGATCCAGGGTAGCCCCAGGATCAGCACAAGATAGCATAGAGGCACTTCAGTGAGTGAATGGTAGGCAAGCAGGCAGGCATGAAGATGAACCCCAACTTAGTCTGGGAGGATGTCTGGGATCCCCATGCTACCTTCCACACAGACTTGACTCTCTGTTCCCCTTACAGCCACCAGAGCTCAGCGGGCCCACAAGAGGCTGCACACTGTGGACCTCTTCTATAGGTTGTGGGAAAAATTAAGCTACCTCATTAAGGGCCTCCGGAGAATGCTTAGGAACCTGACTCAGTCCCTGCCCTTTGAAGCCTTCATCTTCCTCGTTGTCTGCCTCAACACTACCATGCTTGTGGCACAGACCTTCGCTGAAGTTGAGATCCGGGGTGGTAAGAGCTGGGGAGCCCCTTTCTTTTCTTAAAAAAAAAAAAAAGTGCTTTATTCATGAGAAACAGAGAGGAGGCAGAGGCAGAGAGAAAGGGAGAAGCAGGCTCCCCACAGAGCGGGGACCTCGATGCGGGACTCAATCCCAGGACCCTAGGATCGCGACCTGAGCCAAAGGCAGCCGCTCAGCTGACTGAGCCACCCAGGCGCCCCTGAGGAGCCACTTTCACATGGAGAAAGCCATAGATCTTGTTCTAGCCCTCTTGTGGGCCTGATCCAGTGCCGGGTGGCTTATGTAACTTAGTTCATTTCATCCTTACCCCTGGGAGGTAGACAACATTGACCAGTGTTAAAGATGAGGCTCAGAGATCTTGCTGAGGTCAACCAGCCAGCCAGACACACAAGAGCCTGCTAAACTGGAGAATGTGCTGTTTGTAATATCGCCACCAGGTGGCGCATCGACCCTAATGTGGGGCAGCGAGAGGGAACCCTGGTCGCCTAGAAGGGCCAGGAGACTGGAGGGGTGAGAGTGGAAAACCGGGGAAGGCGGCCCCTGAGACCCTTGGCAGCAGAGTGACAGAAAGGCCTGCCACCGCGTAAATAAACGAAGCAGAGCATAAGATTGGCCGCATTCTTATTCTGTATTAAGTGAAGCCAATGTTCATGAAAACGCTCTCAGGCCAGCTGGTACTGTTCCCAGACCAAAGTGGGTCTGCTGCTTGGTGAGTTCTATACAGACTACCCCAGGTGGAGCTGTCTCACAAGGTCATCTTTATTTGTAGAAATAAGGAGATCCAGGGGATTAATTTCTAAAGTGTGACCTCCTCACTAGGGAAAGCAGGCTCCTTCTAGTAGGGCTTGGGATGAATATTCAGAGAGGGTTTTTAGCATGACAATGAGGCTGAGGCACTCTCTGATTCCGTGCCGGCCCGTCTTCCTCAAATGTTTTTCTGTTCCAGCAGTTCTGCCCCGAGCTTCTAGATGGTAAGATTGACAGTTAGGCAGAAGCTGCTAGAAGCTCCCTGAGGTCAGGAGGTCAGGCCAAGTGACAGTATTATCCCTGTTTTATGGACAAGAAAACTGAGGCACAGAGCAGTTAAGACACACAGCCCTTAGGGCAGAACCAGGTCCTCCCTAACTGGGACTGTGTGTGAGGTCCGGAGGGAAGGAGAGATGGGCCAGGGTTGCTGCCGAGGACCGTGAGTGAGCCCCTGGTGTCCCTGCAGAGTGGTTCTTCATGGCCTTGGACTCCATTTTCCTCTGCATCTACGTGGTGGAAGCTGCGCTCAAGATCACTGCTCTGGGCTTAAAGTATTTTTCTGACTCCTGGAACAATCTGGGTGGGTGGGGATGGGTGTGTGTGGGGGGGGTAGCCACTGGACTGCTAGCGGAGGCTGGGGACAAAAAGGGGCACTGGCAGGGAGTGCTGGTGTTGGGGGGACCGCAGGTCTGGGTGATGAGGCACCTGGGCAGGAGCCCGTGACTCCCAGCCCCCTGTGCCCTCAGACTTCTTCATCATGATCATGGCTATGCTGGACTTCATGCTCTTACAGTACAACTCCTCCTCCTTCGTCTACCACCAAAGCGTCTTCCGGATCTTCAAGGTTTTCAAGAGTTTGCGGGCCCTGAGGGCCATCCGGGTCCTCCGGAGGCTCAGGTCAGCTGGGCCGCGGCTGCCCACCCCACCCTGTAGGAAGGGGTACACGGCCCTGGGCTCCCAGGGAATCTGCTGTGACCTGTTCAAGGGATGGGGGACGAAGAGGCTGTGGACTCCAGCCCACTTCTGATTAGCCTCCTGCCATCTGCTAGGATCAATCATTTTCCAGAGAGGGCTGAACTCTCCCAAACCTCTAGCAAAGCAGTGACCCCCTGTCGGTGGTGTCAGTTCTGGCTGCTGGACACAGATCCCCACCCCTGCTGACTCAGCCTCTCAACTTCTGCCCACAGCTTCTTGACCAGCCTCCAGGAAGTGACCGGGACTCTGGCGCGGTCCTTGCCGTCCATCACCGCCATCCTCATCCTCATGTTTACCTGCCTCTGTATCCTGTGCTGTGGGGGCTGGGGTCTGCCTGAGGTGCTGTGATGGGCGGGTTTGTAGTGGCCAGAGCGGGGTTGGAGAATGGGACTCTGCGAGCCTGGTTTGGCCCTGAACAGCCAGTCCTCTTCTCTGTGGTGCTCCGGGCTCTGTTCCGTCATTCTGACCCCAAGCGCTTCCAGAGCATCCTCTCCACCATCTTCACCCTCTTCACCATGCTCACCCTGGATGACTGGTCCCTCATCTACCTGGACAGCCGGGCCCAGGGTAGGACAGGACCCAGGCGGGGTGGAAGGCAGGGGCTTGGCTGGGTGGGCAGACCCCGAGGGCTCAGTTACCCCATCTGCAAAGTGGGGCATCTGATCCTTGCTGGCAGGGGTGTGGCGAGGGTGGGCAAGGAACTCCCAGCTCAAACGACACCCTCTCTCCTAGGCGCCTGGTACATCATCCCCATTCTCATGATTTACATCATCATCCAATACTTCATCTTCCTCAAGTGAGGACCCCATCCCTACTTGGCTCTCCAGCTTCACCGCCACCCCCACCTAATCTTGGGGCACCCCTCCCCAGCCCTCTCCCCTTGGTCATGCCACAATGAACCCAGAGGAGGGTGCAGGGCCTCTCCTACAGCCTCCTCCTGGAGAGTACCCCACTATCCACCCCCACCATCCCCAGCCTGGTGATTGCTGTCCTGGTGGATAACTTCCAGATGGCTCTGCTCAAGGGCCTGGAGAAAGTAAAGCAGGAGGTACTGAGTGGGGTGGGGCGGGCGGACCTGGGAGGGAACCATGAAGGGGTGGGCGCAGAGGCTTGGGGGGAAGGGAGGAGGGTGCTCCAGGAAAGGGCAGACAGGGAGGGGACTCGGGCGGGACAAAAGCCTCTTCTTCTCAGAGGGCCGCCCGGATCCATGAGAAGCTACTGGATGACCCACTGACCGAACTCAGCAAATCAGGTACTGGCCCTCCTTCCGCAGTTGGACACACAATTCCAGGTCCAGTGGCAGGGTTTGAGAATCTGAGACTCAGGAGGACTTTCAGAGCTTAGAACTTTGGTCCAGGGCGCCTGGGTGGCTCAGTTGGTTAAGCGGCTGCCTTCGGCTCAGGTCATGATCCCAGGGTCCTGGGATCAAGCCCCGCGTCAGACTCCCTGCTCAGCGGAGAGCCTGCTTCTCCCTCTCCCTCTGCCTGCCTCTCTGCCTACTGGTGCGCTCTCTCTCTATCTCTGTCAAATAAATAAATAAAATCTTAAAAAAAAAAAAAGAACTTTGGTCCGAAGAACTCTAAGATAATCTGAAAAGCAATTAAACTGATCGTCAATTCCTGAAAGCCCCGTTTGTGAAATGACCAATTAGCCAAATTATGATTCACCAAATGCTCATTTCTTCTAATAACTTACAAAGGTTAGAGCACTTGGTTTTACATGGGATGGTTTCGACTGCCTTGGAGGGTTTCGTCAAGGTATTGCACATACTTGTCCAGAGTCACTCAAAGTGGATTGAGAGTCATTAAAAATCAAGTTTCCTGGACATGTTCATTTTTATAAACTTGACTTTCTGAATGAATTGATTTTGAGACAGTTGGTTTGCTTCCTGCTTAAAGATCTTCAGAACTTTAGATAATCTGAGCTCTAAGGATCCCACTCTTAGGCTCATCAACACTAGAGGACTAAGGGTCCCAAAGGGTCACCAGGTCCCTCACCTGCCCCTTCGATCAGGGAAAGACAGTGCAAAAAAGCTGAAGCAAAAAGAGGAATTAATTGGCAGAAATTACTTAGCAAATTGAGGGCTTTCAGGAATGTGTGGTTTTCAGGAATGGCTAGATCCAGGACTTGAATACTGGTCAAGATTTGGTCTCTTTCCATCTCTCTGCTCTGTGTCCTCCGCATGGTTTTGTGCTTAGGGTGGCTCTTCCCTTGCGGTGGGAAATCCTCACAGGTTAGCCGTTCCTATCATGCCAAGCAGAGACTTCCTCTTCTTCCTGTAGTTATAGCAAAGTCCCGGATATGTGTCTTCTTTGCTTTGATCACCTATTTTGGAACCAATCACAATAGCCAAAAGAATAGGCTGTTCTGATTAGCCAGGCCTGAGTCACATGTCTTTGGAGGTGGGCGGTGGGGTCAGCCCCCTGCTAGACAAGGTGGACCCAAAAGGGACAGGAGTGGTTCCTCGGGAAAACTGGGGGATTTTTACCAGAGGGAAAGACAAACAAACAAACAAATCTGATACACACACCACGCCCAGAGAAGCCATCTCTTTGGGGGCATCATGGGCAAAAACTCTTTTAGCCCCTCTGAATTACCTCCATGACACATGGGGTGTCTTCGACCTCCTCTCAATCTGGGCATCTTTTTTACTGCCCCCTTTTTTACATTCAGACCCTGAAGAGGTGGTGAGTGAACACACCAAACAGAAGCAGCTCATCGAGAAAAAATTTGGGACTATGACTGAGAAGTAAGGAGATGCAAAGGGAGGGGAGGCCCCGAGTCTAAGGGGAGGGGTCTGGGGTCTGGCCCATGGGCTGACAGGGCAAGGGACATTGCCCACCTCTCTGGAAGGGGGTGGGGCGCCAAGGCCCATGTAGAGCCTATGGGTGGGACGTGGAGACCATGAGTGGCTTCTGCTCCCCCTGAGCCAGCTTGCACCACCAGGAGAGTCCCACCAGCAGTGCTTACTGGGCCATGAGAGCCCCTCTGAGGCTGAGGGCAAAGGCAGGGCAGCAGGGAGTCTGCTCATCTGTTTACTCAGGAAGCATCCCTGACCCTTGCTCTGGGTCAGGCCCTGCGAGTTCTTCAGGACACAGACTAGCCCATGCCCATGAGAGCCCAATTGCCAATGACCTATGCTGGGCCATGAGGGTGCTGGACTTAGGCTAGGTGGAGGGGTGAAGAGTGAGGATCAAGGAACAGCTTGGGTAAAGGCTTGGGAGGCAGATGGTCAACATCCCATTCCCGTCGAAGCGATTGGCCAGCTGGGGCAGGACAGCTGGGGACTTGTGGCTGTGCTCATGGCTGGGGGACCTTGGCACAGACTTCCTGCTTCCTGGTTCTCAGGCCTGGCTCCTCAGAGAGCCTTCCCTCTGAAAGCTGGGCCCCGCTGCACCTCATCCAGACTGGCTCCAAACCAGCAGACAGGGCAGTCCGACTACTGGCAGCCTCCAGCCCCTCCTCACCCGCCATCCAAGTTCAAGCCCCAAAGGCCCTCTGTGACCCAGCCTTTGCCAACCTCCCTCATTTCCTTGGCTACTTTCTTGCTGTCCCCGCACTGTTTCCCAAGCATAGCACATACTTCTCCACCTCAGGGCCTTTGTCCACACTGTTTTCTCTGCCTGGAATGTTCTCTGGCTGCCAATGGCAGACTCAAGTGACCAAGATTTGGGAGAGCTGAGTTCCAATCCTGCTCGCTTCACGTCCTGGCCCTCCCGTCCCACCCCACCCCTGTTCCAGCAACTTGGCCACTGGCCTAGTGGGCCCTTGGCACCTCGGTAACACTTTCTATGGGGGTATCTGGGCCTCCAGACTCTTCCCCATTGGTCCACCTCCACTATGAGTGCCCTTTGTTTTTGTTTGTTGTTGTTTTTGTTGTTGTTTATTTTAATCTTTCCTTTCTTTTATTCTTTTTATTTATTTAGAGAGTGGTCTTTGTTAAAAGCAGTTTGGGCTTTTCCTTCCTCATCAGACTTTACATCTCCAATTCACCCATTCTCTACGGCCTCCTTCCCTGAGGTCTGTCCTGGCCCCCAGTACACTCCAGCTCTTCTGGAGTAGCGGACCAGGAACCTTGCCCAAGCCTGGCAAAGCTTCTCGTGTCTTTCCAACTCAGCTCAATGACACTTGCTCTGGAAGTCTTTTCTGATCCCCAGGACTGGGCCCTCAGCACTCTGGTTTACTCTTCTCGCAAGCGTAAACACTTTGCAACAGGCGAAGCTTCCTAAGGGCAAGGACTGTTTCTTGTTAACATCTGTGTCCTCGGAGCCCCTGGCAGTGTTCATTGATTTTAGTGTCACTTGATGGATGGATTTATAAAACGGGCAGGTGATGAGGGAGTTAACAGATGGGTAGTGGGCTGGGTGAATGGTTGGGGGGGGCGGTTAGGTGGATGGCTGACTGCACAACATGGTGAAGGGGTGGGTGGGGGGGTCCAGGGAAGAGCAGGTAGATGGAGGGATAAGGGTGGTCAGATGAGTGAGTGAAGGGCTAGATTGGTGGGCGGATGAATGGGTAAGTGGGTGAGTGGGTGCACAGAGAGGTATGGGGTAGTTGGAGGGGCCACCAGAGGGGTGGACAGAAGGATGGAGGGATGGATAACTGGGAGGGTAAACAGCAGTTAGAACCCTCTCGGGCACTGGCACAAATGGGGGCTTTTTATTTGTGGAAAGGAGATATGGCATGAAAGGCCCCACTCAGAAAAACTGTAATGGGGGGCTGGCGGGAGGCCGGTGAGAAGAGCTGTGGGGGTTGCTCTGGCAGCCTGGATGACCCTGCCGGGCAGGTCAGCTCAGGCTTACCCCTTCCCCCCCTCTCCCCCCAAGGCAGCGGGAACTCCTTTTCCACTTCCTGCAGCTGGTGGCCAGCGTGGAGCATCATCAACAGAAATTCCGCTCCCAGGCGTCCGTTCTTGATGAGATTGTGGACGCTGCGTTTGAGGTGCGCCAGGCAGGACCAGAGGAGAGAGGGGCCAGAGTGGGAAGACCCCAGAAGGCCAGGCATGGGAGGCTTGTGCCCAGAGGGCCCCGAACAGTCTCATGGGCGTGGGGGAAGGCAGAGGCCGGCACTGGCTCGGTCATCCGCCCATCCCACCCCCACAGGCTGGAGAAGAGGACTTCAGGAAGTGACCCCTGGATGCAGAGAGACACGGGATGCGGATTGCAGCCTCTGGCAAGCTGCCCACTGCTGTGGGTCAAGACAAGTCCCCCGATCTACTGGAATGATCATCGGGCCTGCAGGACTGGGCCCTAACAGAGTTTTAAAACCCCAAATGGCTCTGTGTCCTCCCTGGCTAAGCCGAGGCACAGGGCAGGGGAACTGTGCACGCGCACGTGTGTGCACTGCTGGTGTGTGTGTGTGAGAGAGAGACAGAGGGAGTGTTGTGTGTGAGAGGTGCTCTTCCTGGTCCTCTCCAGGGCCCGCATTCCAGCTCGGGCCCGCAGTGCATCGGCAGCGGCCAGAGCGGTGACTCAGAAAGGCGGCCAGGCTCAGGGCTGGAGGGGTGAGTGGGCAGTCACCTTGCTTTTGGGAGGAAGGTCCATCTGGCCCAGGAGTTGGGAGAAAAAGAACCAACTAGAACAGCCCCTAGTTGTCAGGGCCTAGAGGGCCAGTAGGCTCCAGAAATAGGGGCTCACAGCCCGGAACTTGGACCTACCAAGACCCTCGGAATCCAGTACGAGAATGCCAACTCGATGGGGATAGCATGCACCCAGAAGTCAGAGGTCATTGCCGTACCCTGCCCTGCTTGGGGTCAGGCTAAAGAACCTCAGTGAGGGGAAGTAGGATGGAGGCTGCTCAAGTCCTCCTGGCCTCAGGCTGTTGGTGAGGGTGCAGGGAACATGAGTGGGGGTGTGGGAGTGGGGGTGTGTTGGTGGGGGGAATGGATGAGCCTCTGTTAGAGGAAAGCAGGGAATGAGCCTAATGATCACTCCCCACCCTCCCTGGCCTAAGGCTTAGGTGAGTTCCCCTACTTTCAGCCTGAACCTGGGCAAAATGCCCAGAGCCCCTGTCCCCACGGCTGGGGGGTGGAGGTGAGGCTCTGCCCCAGGTCCCCAAGTGCCTGGGTCCAGGCAGGGTGCTGGAGACCTGGGGGCTCCCGGACCAGAGTGGGGTGCTCCACTGTCCCCAGCAGCCACCTCATCTCTGGTCGAGTGAAGCCAGGGAGCAGTAGAGGCTGGAGGGGGTCAGGAGCAGGACTCCGGAGTGGGGACAGAGGGCTGACACTCGTGCCAGTCTTCCCCCTACCCCCAGGCTGGCCCAGGACCTGGGGAGAGACTGTGCCGAGGAAATGGCTTCTGGGATCAGGGCACGGATTCCGGGGGTGGAGAAGCCACCTGGCAGGTATCTGTGGGCCTCGCCTCACCCACTACCTCACACGTTCATTCAACAAGCATTTCCTGCCGCTTCCCTGTGCCAGCTCCAGGCTGGAGGCTTGTGCTGGGTGGCCCGCGGGGGCCCTTCCAAGCCACGGCCACACTGCCCGGCCCTGGGCTGCCTGAGCTGCCGCATCTAACGGGTGGGGACAGAAGCAGGGCTGAACTTTCCCCTGCAGCCCTCACTCCTGTCCAGCTCAGCCCCTTGGCTCCGCAGACCTCCTCGTGCCAGTCGCCTCGCTAGTGTCCACCCCCGCCCCCCATCCCTACCCCAGTAGGGCCTCTGAGAGCAGAGGCCTGGGCCTGGGACCGGGAGCTGTTCCTCAGTAGGTCCCAGCTCGCAGGTGTGGGTGCGTGTTGGTGCATCTGAGGCCCAGCTCTGGGTGGGGCGTGTGGGTCTCCAGGGCTGTGTGTGTGGAGGTCTGTATACATCTCCAGGTTGTTTGGGGTGGAGGGGGTTGCTTCAGTGTGTGTGTTTCTGGGTGGCCAGGCTGTGTGTGTGATTTTCTGGATATGTATATGGTATCTGGGAGCATCCAAGTGTGTGCTGTGCTTTCAGTGTATGTGTGTGGTGTGTTGAGAGTTCTATGTGTGTGTGTGTGTGTGGATAGTGAGTATGATTTGCAGCCACAAATTCAGTTGTGCAGAAAAAGTTGCAGTTCTGTTTTCTTGAAATGACGTCACATCACATCTGCCCTCTCATCCCTCCTGTGGGCAGATTTGACCCTGGTCTCCTTTGGGCTTCCTGTCCAGCCCCTTCCAGGGGTCTTGCCTGGGGCAAAGCACTGGGGACCCCCCTCTGGCCTATGGCCCACGTACTTGAAAGCCACTGTTCCAGCCCTATGGCCTATGGGGGCCCTGGCATCGCGGGCCCGCGGGCGGGTATAGGAACCGCAGGTTGGGAGCTCAGCCGGCTGAACCCAGCCTGTGCCTCCCTAGGTCGTCCTGGGAGCTCCGGCACCCCTCGGAGTATTCCCTGATGCCTGCCCCTGCTCAGTCTTGGGGCATCATCCCTCTCCTGTGAGTCTGTCTCCCGCCCCTTAACTCCGAGAATAATGAGAGTCCTTGGAGGTTTGATTGTCTGTGTCTGTGACGCTGACGTATTTGGAGAACTCCACATTTGGGGACTGAACCTTGCGCCCTCAGCACTGTGTGGGCTGAGACAACAGAAGCTCAACTGGGGGTGGTATGGGCTGTCTTTGGCCTGGGGAAGGGCTGCTGCCACAAGTGGGCATGGACTTGGAGGAGGGAGTGGGGGGAGGAGGAGGAGAGCACTCGGGAGAGTCCAATGCGAGAAGCAGTGCCAGCAGTTTATTGTGACAGATACGCCCATGGACCTGAAGTGCCTTCCCACGAAGCGCCTGCTCCCTCCAGCTCCCATGCCCATAGGGGTCTACGGTATGGTCACGCAGTTATGCTTCAGAAGCTGGGAGGAATTCTCCCAGGGGACCACTAGGATCTCGAAGTCACAGCGCAGCTTCTGCAGGGAGAGCAGGGAGAGGAGGGGTGAGGCTGGGTCCCAGGCCTGACTCCTCACAACCGCCACCCTCAGCCTGCGACACTCCACTCGGGGGTGCGAGAGGAACAGTCGCTGGGCCAAAGGGTCAATGAGTCAAATGGGCAGGACTAGATCCCAGATCTTTCTAGCCTAGTCCAGTGAGGAAGAAGCCCCAAGTCTCCTCCTCTCTGCACCCCACCCTGGCCTGGGGGCTGAATCATCCAGAAGACAGGGGCAGGTTCAGGCAGACATCAGCGCGGCCAGCCAGACGGGTTCAGGCTGGACAACCTAGCCTTGGGTGCTGGGAAGTGGGGCGCAGGGCCATTACCTCCTCCTGCACTCCGGTGGCAAGGGGGCAGGTAGTGATATCTACGCGGTCTCCAGTGGCCACGTTCTTGCGACAGGCTGTGCTCCCCATCTCAACGGTCAGGTAGTACTTGATGCCGGCCACCAGCTGGGGATGGAGGGCAGGAGCGGGTCAGGAGTGTTGGAAGACTACCCCTGACCCAGACCTCTCACCTGTCTCCACATTCAGCACGGGGGCCTGGGCCTCGCCTCGGCATTCCGACCCTGGATGGGGAAGTTCTGGTGGGGATCCCTGGGAGAGGGGCAGAGGATTGGGCCACACAGGAAGCTGAGACCCAGGTGTGCACACGCCCTGAAGCCCACTGCCCTATCTCCCTCCCTCCCCTCTCCCCCGTCCACCCCCCAGGGCAGGGGCTAGTGTGAGCCTAGCGAGTCCCCGTGTATGTAAGTCAGGGCTAGACCCTATTGAAATCTAGATATGTTGTTCCTACTACATTTTTGGCATTAATTCAGTTTAAAAAATACATCGTGTCGAAACGTCCTGAACGCTCTTGTGGCATCCCCTTAACCCG